TATATGATATATATCTCACTATCTATATCTAAAAACATATATACACACACATATATATATATATATATATATATATATATATATGAGAATCTTGAAATCTTAAAATATATTTTTTAGAACTAACATTCAATATCAAGAACGAAAGGAAAAAAAGTGCGTTGCTAGAAGAAGACATGACAGTTGCAAGGATGCAATGCTGGGACCGTTCACAGGTCACACTTTTGTATCTGATAAATACTAGACTCTTCTGAGTTTTTATTTTAAACATTTTGGACCTTAGTTCGGGTTGGGTCACATGACCCAAACCCTTGACTTTTTTCTTTGACAAATCTTCAGCCGTTTCTGCCATGGCCGTAGCACACCATGGTGTCACATGAACAGTGGCTGCCATAGCCCGCCACACTGTTGTCATATAATGGTGCTTTGTGAGATTTCTGCCACCACCATAGCAGAGCGATTACTGCTTTTTAACAATGCCTTTTTGACAACACTGTCTGTGAGTGACATCTTCATTAATTTCTCTGTCATTACATAATATTAATCCCATGCACTTTAACTTGGGGTATAAGTTATACGATATCCAATTTTTACTTCCAAATGATCTTCCTCTTGTTTCTTGCTAAAATTGCAATGCATATATTTTGTCTCTCTCGTATTCAAACATAAATCCTTTGATTCCAATGTCTGTTTCTAAAGCTCAAGTTCAGAGTTAACATTTTTCACCATTTTTTGATCAAAACTATGTTATCTGCAAGGATTACCCATGCTAAACCTTGAGTAAACTTATCCTTATAAGTCGTAGTCTCGTCTATAAGAGTTCTCACACTATTAGTTAACTCATACATGTCTTATATAGCTTAGATATATGTCGTGGGAGCACCTTTTTTTCTCTCATGTTTTTTCCAAGTCAATAAAAATTACATGCAAGTCTCTCTCTTTTAATTATGCTCAAATTTCTTTTTCCATAATTACATACCGTTACTCAAAAGTTTAATGCTTCCGTAATGTACATAATTAGATTTTCTTTGTGCATTTTAAAACATGTATCCATAATCTTGGACTTCATGCACAAACATCATTACTGTGAGCCAAAAAATACTGTTCCAACAAATCTTGTTTTGAAATATTTGCACTGTGACCCTTATCAAGGTTGGTACAATTACACGATTATTAAAATGTACCAACCTTGATTGACCCTTATCAACCTTGGTAATTAAAATGTATCAAGGTTGGCACAGTTACACGATGATCGTGTCACGATGAAAGTTAAGGTAGAAAGATTTTTACACAAGGAAAATAATTCTCATTGTCATTGCAATAAAGGTGACAGAAACTAGTCTAGTTACTTCTGTTTTTCACTTTATAACTAACTAGAAAGCTGTTATCTTGTTTTTCACAAGGTTGGACAGAAAATAACTTTTTTTTCCTTCCTTTTTGTATAAATCTTTGAAAACATCGAAAATTAGGTAAGCATTTTATAATTAAAAGGTGAAAACAAGGAATAAAAACAAAAGTAAAGGGGCCTAATATTCTTAATTCGTGATACACTATTCATGCAGGTAATTTTCAGTTTTCCATGAACGGAGAAGTGATATTATTATTACTTTCACTTGTACTCCATGTTTTCATTTCATATTATTTCCCTGTGACTACAGATGTGGTACTGAATTTTGTTACAACTGTGGAGCTGAGTGGAAGAACAAAAAATCAACGTGTGCTTGCCCATTTTGGGCGGAGAACAATATTTGGTTAGAGGATCATGATAGGGATTTGGAAGAAGAGGTTGATGATGATGGTGATGTCGATAGCTCAGATTATTCTGATGATTATTATTAAGTAGCTGGCCAAACAACTAGTAAATATTCAGATATCCATATGTTTAGGAAAATGCGGGTTTCTCTTAATATCTTTCTCCTTATTTCGGATTCATTTTAATTTTTCTCTCTCAGCCAAGCCTACTCCCCCCTCCTTTTCTTTTACTAAATATTACGCATTCTCAAAAGATTCCTCCCTCATTTACTTTGCTAATCATCTCGGTACTAAATTGATTGAAGTTAATAATAAGAAATACAACATTACAAAAATATCAAAAAAACTTAAAAATAACAACAAAAAAAAAAAATTGACAAAGAAAGAATCAAATAGGATCATATTTACATGAACTTACAGATAAAAAAAAATATTTACACGAACTTGATAAATATAGTTAAGTCCATGTCTTTCGTTATTCTCAACGAATCATGATCTCATCATACATGTAAGTGGCCCAGGCTACGTGGTTCGCGTGAGGTACCATATGTTAATCTTATACAAGAGACGATTAGTCAACGAGCTTAGTTGAATATAATTAAATTTTCATAAAAGAAACGTTGCAAGAGGTTGCCTCACATATCTATGATGTGTTACTTTTCCTTGCCTATCAAAAGTTTATGATTCTGTCCGCGTTATCTTTTGTTATATTAACTGGGAATAGGTGCTTCTAGTTAAGATTTTCAAATCTAATTCGATTCAAAGAAAAACTGTAAATAAGTCTTTTTATTTTTATTTTTTTTAGATCGACTAATAATGAAAATGATTTAGATCTTTTTTTTTAATGATTTTTGACCAAACTAAGCCTATATTTTTAATATACATTTTTTATGTTGTATTTCGCATGTAAAATGTATAGTGTGATACGATTAGTACATAATATTATTTTTTAAACATGCAGTTATTGATTCAATATTTAATTTATATATAAGAAAAAATATTTATTGAGAGGTCAACTCCTTAAACGAGTCTTAGTATTTTGAGATTAATTTTAAACTTCTGATTAGAGATACCCTGATTTATATATATAAAAAAATGTAAATTGTATGTGCTTTATATTGTAGGAAGTTTAGTCATTTAGTGTTTCGTAACTGCAGTCACATTTAGTGTCTTTGAGGATTAATTATTTCATCAGATAAGTACGAAACTAATATCTCAACGTGTGATGTTCAGGCGCTCAAGTGGATATTTTTCTCAATAATTTTTCTTTCTTTCGTTTTTATTCGTGTAAGAAATAAGACATCTAGTACTAGTAAATTTAATATTTGAAACTAAAGATATATAGTAAAAAAAATAAAAACATTAGTAAAAAATTGAATCATCCAACCCAATCTGCATTTTGTTGGATAAGATTTTTCTAAAAAAGTTATCGAAACCGATTTGCAAATACCCTTACTTGAAACCACCAACTGAATAAAAACATCTTTCAAAGGAAAAAAGAAAAGCTTAATCTATCAAATAAAAATAAGCTTCTACTCTCATTTTGATTTAAATTTTGACAAATTAATATTTAGGACAAAACTTGGAATATTTTTGAAAAAGTTTGACATAAATAATTTAAATAATGAGCATCTATAACTTACCAATTCAACATATGAAATTATATTTATATAGCTTACTAAGTTCTATATTGATTTAAATCAATTTTTTTTACAAAAATATTAATTTGATTTATGGTATTTATTAAGTTTATAAATATTAGTGCTGTAAGATGAAAAATAATGTAACAAAAAAAAATATTTTAAAATTTTAAAGATTTAAAATATGTAATATATCTTTTAAAACCAAATCATCCTTTTAAGGGTTAATGTTTTTCAATAAATATTTTTGATACACACTGACCAAGATTGAATATTAAATCATATGTTTGAGAGGTAAGCTTATCTATTAATTATGTCCCATTTTGTTAGTAAACATATAGTTTATAGTGTCAGTTTAATTAGTATTTTCTATATCAGTTAAAAAGATTTAATTAGTAATTTTGAGTTTGTGTTGAATATATAATTATATTAAATATTTAGAAAAAAAATTATTATATACAATAATCCTACTTGGATTTGAGCAAGAATTTTTCCGTAATAAGATATAAGATACCAGTGATTTTATGAAACAAAATAAAATAATGCATTGGTTGAAAATAGCTTTTGCTATTTACCATTGTCAGCATATGCCAGTACTGAATAGGCTAGCATAATTAGTTTTGCATTCTATTTAATCATCGAACCTCGAACGTATTACACCGTTTTTTTTTTATTTTTTTATAACTAATGTATCATACATCTTAAACGCACACCTTTTTTTTAAATTTTTTTAATTTTATTATTATTTATATTCCAAAAGTAAATGTGCATATTACATGTGATAAAATATTTACTCTAAATAATTAAATTTATAATAAATAAATATTTTAATGTATAAATTATATTATAAAAACATACATAATTAAATATATAGTTATATTTTAAAATTATGGTATAAAATTATTTTTAACCGAGTGTATTTTTTTATTATTATAATATGATACTTGATAGAAAAGTTGGAGTTTTGGCCGAGAGGTTAGGTTGAGATAGTGGAGCGTGGCGCAAGATTCAAAGGGTATGATTGATTGCCGTTGGTTATCATTTTATGCAATGGCTAATTTATCACCATAACTTTTGGTAAATGTGGATGGAAAATGGTTATACCAATTTTATATTTGAGAGTGGATAATTTCTTACATTAAAATAAATATAATTGCCCAATAAAAAATATACTAATTACAAGTCGTTTGATTCTTTTTAATAGTATTCATTTATAAACAAACTAAGATACATATTAAATTTTCTCGTTTTCCATAAAATGACTTTTAATGTTTCTTATTATGTTTCCTTTTATTTTTATTATGCAATAAATGCATATTAAATTTTTCCATTTTTCATAAACGACTTTAATGTTTCTTATTATTTTCCTCTCATTTTTATTTTATAATAAATGCATTTTAATTGTTAATGTGTGAATTAATTAAAAATAGATGAGATATAAGGATAATTATAACAATTATTATTCTCTTGAAGTTTGAAAATGATATATAATTAAAATAATTAACAATAAAAAAATGGAAGAAGTAAATTTTAACAAAACTATATAAGATAAAATAGCAATTATTATTACAATCTAATTTAATTCAAATTTAATATTAATTTCAATAATAATAATAGAATTTAAACCTAAAATTTTGTGTATATTATCTTAACTCCTAATACTAGGTGATTTCAGATGAATTTTTAATACTAAGATCAAAATTATAAATTTTACAAAATTAAACAAAAAAAAAATACAAATATAAAAATGAGTTTAATAAGATTTTAGTCTTTTAATCTTTTAAAATTTAATTTTTTAGTCCTTGTTATTATTATTTTTTTGCCAAACTTTTTTATCTTTCATTAGTTTTCCATCCCATAAATTAGTATATGTGATTAATCTTTTTTATGTTAAGTGATGATGTGTGATAATAAATCGTAATTATTTAGACTATTAATGTTCATGTAACTACTTAGTACATATGATACATGTTTGATAAAAAAGAAATATACACATGTATTATTACATCACAAGAATATAAAGATTTAATAATCACTTAGATACATGATTTTGATAAATAAAAAAATTATATGTATCATATAATTTACATGACAATTACACGAGTATTAATTATTTAATTAATCATCATTCATTAATACACATCATCACTTAATAAAGAAAATTGAAGTCGAAAAACTAATTTACACAACAAAAGTTAATGAAATAAAAAATGACAAAAATTTAAAACTAAAAATTGAATCCTAAAAATGTTGAAAGACTAAAAACTTATGTAACTTTTTTAAAATTAAGAGTAAAATAAAAAATTAAATATTATAAAGAAGTAAAAATGGATACATTCATTCACTTTTGTCTTTTATCTCACTTCCATGTTCCATTATTTTTTTTATAAATAAATCCATTTTAGGAATAGACTGATTTTAACAAATATTTTTTCGTGTGTGTAATAAATAATAATTGTTGAGAGGATGAACTCCGTGACATACAAGACACTGTACTCCACACGTGGCTAACCGTGCAGCGTCTATCTTCGTCACCCATCACTCTGCGTCATTCCTCCGCAAAGACCACCCTCTCCAAAACCAAAACCCTTTTCCCTTTTCAACTTTTCACTTTTCACTTTCCACATAAAAACAACCAACCTTTATTTAGTTAAACCATCACTGCTACTCCTACCCACTCCCACTATTCCATTCCACCTATTTTTCTTAATACACAGACACAAACAATAACAAATTGTTGGTCCAAATTAAATTAAACTTATTCTCTTTATTAAAATTTAAAAAAATATCATTAAAAATAGTAGCAATAATATAACTCAATTTTTTTTTATTTAAAAAAATTGCATGAGCCAATAATAACGGTTAAGAGGGACAAAAGTGGTTTTGCTGGCATCGAAATTCCAAACCACCAAAAGTCACTGCCATTTTCCTCTTCTTCGTCATTTCCCCTTGGGTCCATTTCCTCACCTTCACTCTCCATATTAACTGTATATATATTAATTATACCATATTTGTATCCTCCCCAGTGTACCCAAACCTGCACCCGCCTCCACCCAATCACTGCTCTAGAATGCGATTCGATGGAGTGGGAGAAGACGAAGGAGTGCGCGCGGGAGTTCATGGCCGGCGTGGCGGAGATCACGGTGGCGTTCGGCAAAGGCTGCAGAGACATAGTCAACCAGAGTCTGGTCAACGACGATTCCTTCATCGTCAAAAAACTCGGAAGAGATTCCTACATTGGGAAAAAACTGAGAACATCCTGCGCTAGGCTTTTCGCCAAATTCACCTTCTTCAACCACTACTTACCCGAGGACAAGGACCCTCTCCACGCTTGGTCCGTCATTCTCTTCGTTTCGCTATTCGCCTTCTTAGGTAATCGATTCAATTTCGATTTACGGAATATATTTAATGCTTCAACTTCGCGCTATTAAGTCACGTGGTTGATTTCTTCGTAGCTTTATATGTGAATTTTGAGCGCGATCCGTGTGCGCCGCTTGTGAAGCAACTGTTCGTGCATCCTCCTAGTGCTACTCGGATACTGCTTCCTGATGGAAGATACATGGCGTATAAGGAGCAAGGTGTTTCATCTCACAGAGCTAGGTTTTCGGTTATTGCTCCTCATACTTTTCTTTCCTCCAGGCTTGCAGGTTGGCTTCTTTGGTTTCTGTTAATTTACTGCGTTTGAGGCATTTTTGATATTGTTAAATGTGTTTGAAATTAGGGATTCCTGGAGTTAAAGATTCGCTGCTGGAGGAGTTTGGGATTCGTTTGTTGACGTATGATCTTCCTGGCTTTGGTGAGAGCGATCCTCATCCCAAGCGGAATCTGGAAAGCTCGGCTAAAGACATGGCGTTTTTAGCGGATGCTCTTGGTGTGAACAAGTTTTGGGTTGTTGGTTACTCCACTGGTAGCATGCATGCTTGGGCTGCGCTTAGATATATTCCTGATAAGCTTGCTGGTATTTGTTGCTCTTTTGTTTGTCCTGTGTTTTTTTTTTCTTTTCTTTTTATTTCCTTGCAATTTATAGTATTAGTCACTCCGTTGTTCATTCTCTTTTTAAATTACAACTGTTGTCTACTTTTTGGTTTGGTTTAGTGTGCTCTATTGCATTTCATTTAGGCCTTTTGTTCTTTTACCTCGTCTAAAACATTTGAATGACTTGTTTAAAGTGAGTTTATAGGTGTTTTGCATCTTTTTAGTGATGGAAGTAGTTGCTTCCTTTTTGAAAAATATATTGTTTAATGATAATAGAGTAAACTACAGACACTCCTTGAAGTTTTGTGAGATTACACACCTATTTCTTCTACCCCTACACCAACTCACTTAATTGTTTGTGAAACATTACGGATACCCCCTTTGGACATTACATTAGCCCCTGAATTGTTTGAAAAAATTACCCTGTGACTCTTGTAAGGAGGTTGCTGTAAATTTTCAAAAAGAAGGGAGTTATGTGAAATCTCAGGATATGTAATTTACATAATATATGTGTCATGTCAATAAACCAAGTTTTTCAGAGAGAATAAGCACCTTGCCACGCATTATGAAATTAATCTGTTACTTGTTGACTCTCAGGTGCTGCCATGTTTGCTCCCATGGTGAACCCATACGATCCTATAATGACGAGGGAAGAGAGAAAAAGAACCTGGAACAAATGGACCCGGAAAAGAAAATTCATGTATTTCTTAGCTCGGAGATTTCCTGGACTTCTTGCTTTCTTCTATAAGCGAAGCTTCTTGTCAGGAAAGCATGGTCAGATTGATAAGTGGCTGTCATTATCTCTGGGAAGGAGGGTATGGGAAGCTTTGCTTATCTTTTTTTTTTTTTTTTTTTTAATCTTTGAATCAGCAAATCTGATATTTAGGGTTTGATTCCTTTAAAGTAAGAGATGCATTTTAACCTTGATTAGAAAATCAGGGGAATAGATTTTAACTTCATAGTTTGTCATACCTGTCTACGTATTTTATTACCGTTAACTGTGGATTTTTCAAATCAACGGTTATTTTATCCTCTAAAGTGATACTAATCTCTAAAGTGCACTTATTAGTATCACTTTAGAGGAGAAAATTCATAATATTTGACTTCCATATATGACTTCAAGTGTTCAGTATCTCTATCGATGTCCACTTTATGGCTATTCCAATTAAATTGATCAAGTATTAGAGGCGCAACAGATTGCTAATTAACTGATATATGGAAGAGAGAGGGCCTTATGTAATTGCTGAGGGAAGTTCTTGGCATGTTCAAATATGATTTTGGTCTGCTCTGACTTTACTCAAATAGCCAAACTTAAAGCATAATTATTACTGAACTTTGGCCGAAATTGATAGCAATAAGACATTTTAAACATGCATTCTGATCACAGAACCCAAGTTTACTAAACTAACTAATTATGCATAATGTTTGTGTTTACGAAAGCAGGTTCTGATGGCTCATGCTTTTCCAAGTTGTTGTTGTTGTTGTTTTTTTACTTGTACATTCTCTCATGCAAGATTGCAATGTTCCTTTCAGGATAAAGCACTGATGGAAGATCCAATCTATGAGGAATTCTGGCAAAGGGACGTGGAAGAATCAATCAGGCAAAGGAATTCGAAACCCTTTGTGCAGGAAGCTGCTTTGCAGGTCACAAACTGGGGTTTCAGCCTTTCGGACCTCAAGTTGCAGAAGAGAAAACAAAGTTGGCTTAAGTCAATGTTCACCGAAACTCAGGAATATACAGGATTTCTTGGCCCTATACATATATGGCAAGTGAGTGCAACTATGTTTTTATCCTCTACTCCTATATGTGAGTTCATTCACATTAATTGTCAGTAATATTATCATAACCGCTTGCATGCATTCTACTATCCAACCAATTTTGATCAAAACACTTGACAGCAATGACGCAATATGCAGCTATGGAAAATATTTGATATTGTAGGATATGGGTAAAATAGAGTATGTCGAGTAAAAATGTTATGAACGTATTTATTATACATAAAGAAGTAACTATACAAATATTCAAAAAGCACTAACAAGTAAACATAATCAAATTTAAACTACTAAATGATTTCAGACATGCTTCAGTCTATTTCAGACAATTCAAGCCAATTCTCAGCATTTTGATTTCATTTTAAGAGTTCTAGAAACCAACTTGCCCATTTTGACCAGTTGGTTATAAATGCTCAGACCATATTAGATAATTTTTTTTTTCTTCTTTTGCTCATCTTTTTCCATTACCTGGTAGTATGTACACCTCTGTTTCAGTTATCATTTTTAACTGATCTGTTTTAAGTTGCCAATTGTTGAGCATACATGAAAGGAAAACATTTAGCTGTTGCATGCAGTCATTGCAGTGATACCAGGAATCAAGTTTTCATTTTTTTTTTTACTTTTTTTTTTTTGGTAATTCCCATTTGGCACTATTAGGTTTCAATTCTGCTGTTGTATTTCTGTACCTTCTGCCAGACAGAATTTAAGGTTGCATTTTCATCCTGAAATTGTGAAGTAGACACCTTGAATTTATGATTTTTCCTTCTGGTAGATGTTTCCCTTGGAGTAGATTATAACTATATTTAAAGTCTTAACACGTTTCTTGGGTGAAATATATTTTAAGTAAATGAAAATGAAAAACAAAACTATATTTTTATTTGCATGGTCTAGTTTTATTTTCACCAATATTTGACACTTTAGGTGAAATATGACTTATAGTGCAATGTTAACAGGGAATGGATGATAAAGTGGTTCCCCCCTCAATGACTGATTTTGTGCACCGCGTACTACCTGGAGCTGCAGTTCATAAACTCCCATATGAAGGTCATTTCACCTATATCTACTTTTGTCATGAATGCCACAGACAGATATTTACTACAATTTTCGGAACCCCACAAGGCCCACTCAGCATTTCTGTAGAAGTAGATCAAACTACCCTAGAAACCAATATTGAACAGCAAGAAGTAGTAAACGATGGTGATTATGCCAAAAACTAGAAAAATATTCATAACAGGATTAAAAGGTTCCTTCCTTTTTCCATTTTTCTTGTCGAGTATCACAATTTAATGATGTAAATACCATATAGTTTTGCTTCATCTCCTATGAAGCAGTATAGGAAATAAAAAACAATTTTAGTATTTCTACCCCTTCTTTGGTGTTGAACTGGTCTGTCCTACAAATATTATTGTGTTTGGACTCCTCCTTTACTCAACAACTCCCACAACCCCTTCATAACTGAACTTGCTTTTGGTAGTAGTGAGATATAAGACAGCAATTTGAGCTCACCAGAATTCCAAACTACGTGATTTGGAAAAATGATATAATGCTAATATTTCTCTCTGTTCTCGATGATGCGACGAGAGCTACTGAGCAGCAGATATTTGGCTCAAATACCAGCTGACTTTGTTGGAAGTGAAAACACTCGCATTGGAATAATCATTAATGGAGCAATACAATATTTATTGTTTTTACAAGCAATATTTTCTCACTTGTTAGTTTCATTTTATCTAGACATGGACTTGAGTACTTTTTTTTTCTTTTTTTTTTCTTTTTCTCTCCCTTATACGAAGAGTTGTCTCGTTCTTTGTTCATAGATTAAAGGGAGCAACGTGGGTTTCTTACCCGTAGGGATAATTATGTAGTCTAATTATTGAAATGAGGTATATATTTTTTTTGAAAACTTTCTCATTATAAGTCCTGGACACGATTTTTAACAGAAGTCATACATAGGGAAAGGATTTAACTTCTCAAAAGAAAAAAAGTGCATTTTAGAGTTAAAGTACACAATCGTTAATTAAAAATTATAATTATGAGAAAATTATATATATATATATATAATAGAATATAAAATTAATTATAATATTTATTGTTAATTTTTAAACAATTATTATTACACTTTATCTTTTAGAATGAAATTTTATTTCATTTTACCCGAACCAATTCTAAAAAATAAAAAAATAAAAAATCCTAAAGTTGTACATTAAGTTATAACTTCTATTAAAATTGTGTCTATCAATCACAACTTATTTTAGGAAAATTTTTTAGGATGTGTCTCATTTCATTAAATACAACACCCATCATTTAATGGGTAAAACAGTCAGAGTCGGGCTTTACTTATGACTTTGATTGTTTAAAATGCCGAGATTAATTCAATCATATATTACTGATAGGTAATAACTTGATTATTATTTCTTTAAAAATGCTATTGCTTGCATATATTTCTAGTAATGTTTGTTAACAATGTCGCATCAGAATGTATAATTAAAAATTGATCGTAATAAACAAGAATTATGGGACCCATCACAATTTTGGCAAAATATTGTATTAGCATTTTATGATTTTTATATAACATAAAGTATTCATGTAGAAGAGATTCGCCCATATATATATATATATATATATATATATATATATATATATTTTTTTTTTTTTAG